GGCCTGTATTGGCAAAACGACAAGATGCGCCAAACAATCACTACGGAAGCGTGGAAGCGACAACAAAGGTCACGAAACACCTACAGTCTACAAACCCTGAGAACAGAAGACGAAGAGACGAAAATAAATCGAACTTGAAAGCACCACAACGTACCAAAGCAGGTCGGAAACCAAACGTGTTCCTGAAGCGAAGAAAAGAAGGGGTCGTGACACCAAACAATGATTTGTAAAACCGCGGCAGGGAATAGCGAAAGCTCGACCTGGCGAACTAAAGAAGTCAAAAGAAAGCAGACGAGAAAACGAAAACAAAACATAACACCGCTAAGAGCAACAGAAGACTACAACAACCAAGCATGCCATCTTAATGGGAGCGCACGAAGTCATCGAGCAACGAGTCGTTCACTAAGCCACCACGCGATATGTCGACGTTGCGAAGAATAACACCCTTGAAATTGGCGCTGCCGCTGTGAACCTGGAGGCGCCAGGATCCGGAGACGGTGACTTTAGTGGTGGCGCCGCGAATCTCAGGAAGGGCAAGCTTGACTGGCCCAGGGTCGTGAAACAAGTGGAGGACGTAGACGTCAGACGGGAGATGCGGTCCCGACATCTTGCAACCATCAGAATCCATCGTGCGGTGTGTACCAGAAAAAGGCACCCGCAGGTAGAAAGAGAGATAGGGGCGACACGACGGTCCCATGTAGAACGAAGAATGAGCGAGCAAGCCCAAGGGCAAAGTTCTGTCTCCTTTAGCGCGCGCAAATTTACGGGCAGCTGCACCAATGCGCATCGCACGACATCGGCGATTCGATTGGCGACGTCGGTCAGGTGAACCTGTCGAATACCGAAGAATGTGCGGCTTGGAGTACTGTAGATCCCTCTCACGCCCCGAGGAAGGGCGAAGAAGACCTGTCCAGTGTGTCCGGTATACGACTACCATAGTGTCACCACGACCACGAACGACTGATCTCCGCTTTTGCTTTCAACCTCGAGACGTTCAACTGGACGGAGTCGATACGTCGTCTTCCGTAACATGGTAGGGAGGAGGTTTGCTCGCATGAGAGTTCGCGCTAGGACAAGCAGGCGGAAATATCGGCAGGTCATCAGTGCCATGCGGGTTAGCGCAAAAGGCTTGCAACGCACAACAAACACAAGAAGTTGCGAGTCCTTGCCCGGCAGCTCCGACGGGATATCCAAGTAGAGCAACTTGGACGCCAAAAAAGACCACAGGGGCGTCAGAATACGGGCCAACAGCCACAACGGTGAATGAGCCAGTTCAGAGCAAAAGACAACTTGGCTTTAAGAACCGTGTCATCCGTACCTGAAGGAAAACCTTGGCCGATAGTGGAATCGGAGTTGTACACCAAAACCCACCCACCTACGGTGTAAAAGGGAAGCTTACGTGAAGTATCCAAAAGAGCGAAATTTCGCCGCTCGATCCGCGAAATGGACAGGTTGTGATCTTCACACAGCAAGTCGGTCGAACGACGTTGGCGATCAGCAGCAATATCGTAATACTCAAGTTGATCACGATTCAGGCTTTGGTGTCTGCGAGCATAACGATGCTCAAGGACAGTCATTGGCAAACGTGGCAATCGGTTCATGTGCGCCTCGTTGGGCGCTAGACCAGTAGCTGCACCAACCGAATTGTTGTAGGCAAACTCGACGTGCGGCAAATGAGGGGCCAATCATCGTGTCGCTCGTTGACCACCATAGCTAACATCTGAGCCATTGTGTGATTGGCACGCTCCACACCCCCATCGCCGTTAGGATGGCAAGAGCTATAGCCACGTTGAGAATAGCAAGCCGGGCGTACACAGCCTACGACGGTTTAAAACAATGCTGGGAGCCGTTGTCAGGCAAGAGACTCAACGGGCAACCCCTCACAAAGAGACATACTGGTTGATGAAAATGTCAACAAGGCCTTCGGCGGTGAATTCTTCAGCCATAACCGCGTACACATCAGCGCTGCGTCTGAAACGGTCTGTGAAATGCAGAATGTATGTGTTTTCGGGTGGTTTCAACGGAAGGGGACCGAATTAGTCGACACTCACCGACACTCCAGGTCCCTTCGGCAATCATAGAAGGCACAAAGCAGGCCACCGAGAAGTCTGTCGAGATCAGTTGCGAGCTTGGCATCGCAAACAACACCGCACCCACATCTTCGTGCATACACTCATGCCAACCCACGAAAATACAACGTTCCAGCATGCTACGCGTGCAAGCTGTACTGGCGTAGCAGGACGCGTCATCGTGGCGGACTTGGAGCATGTGCACATAACCCCCGATAGATTCATCATTGAGGAGGTGAGCAGCACGTCCGGTAGGACGTGTGGATGTAAAGGACGGGGGCGCTGTCGGCTGGGGAACAAGCAAGATCAAATCATCATCGTCAACATGCAACTGGCCTTTATCAGACTGGTCACAATTCTCCAACAGAGAAGTTCGACGAGCTGACCTAACATGATCAAAAAATTCCGAAAGGAGGACCAAAGGCCTACCCAGCAGGATGAAACGAATTGCTGCATCACACACACTGTTTTGTTTCCCCGCGGCATCGTATGTGCCGGGTTTGGAGACCACGGGCTCCCCATTTTTTGTGGACAATGTGAGAAACAACAACAACAACAACAACAACAACAACAACAAACACATGTTCGTTGCGGTTGGTCACGAGCCCAATAAACATGCGAGAAACGTTCGACAGACGCCCGGACGCCCAGGTCCGCTGATGAATGAATGCAAAGCCGCCTCGATAGAAGAGGGGGTCGACTCTGGAGGCGTCGACTGCAATCCTTCAGAAGGTAGAGCAGTGGATGACGAAGGCGAGATCGCGCGAACGGTCGAAACCAAACTCGGAGGGGACTCCGAAGAGTAGGGGCTGCAGAAGACTGCAAGGCAAGAGCAACCGAAGATGCAGTACGCGTCAGAGACGCAGCATCCAATCCATGAGCCAGAGGCGCGAAGGGATCTGGGGATAGACACCAGTACAAGTTTAATCAAAAGCGAACTTGGTGAAACTGTTGTCATCGTGTCGGTGCCCAGGGCGTCGTCGGAGACCGTCGAAACGGTTGAGGCGTAACGGCAAGCTGTGAGGGAGGCAGGGAAGGTGGGTCGTCAGAGAAACCATGGGGCGGCGAGCTCGCGTGGGAATCACTTGAGTAGAATCGAGGGTTCGACGTGGCGTGGCAACTGACAGAAAGGTCGACGGAAACGCAGACTCGAGAGCAAAATTGTCGGACGAAACGGCACAAGGCCGATTGGGAATTGTCGAAGAGGACTAAACGCCAACAGTTGTGCGTGACCAGGGAGCAATGTTCCAGACGCCAGACGAAGGCGTAAAGCCTGATGGTGGGAGACGCGGACCGTGACGACGAAAATCGACGAAGTCAGCCGTAGAGGGGGAAGCCCATCGAAGACCGAAGTCGGGGAATTCTGGACAAGCTCACCCAAGTCAACATCCGCTGCCCGATGACTGGAAGGTGTAAAGCCACTGAAACGAATGAAAAACACGGCGTCCTCATCCTCAGCCGGGGTCACTCAGCTGCGGTCAGATCGGTCACATTCGGCTGGATCCACCGGCAGGGGAGAGAGGAAGTCAGCGTTGAACCCATGCGAAACTCGTGAGTGAATTTATAGGCGGTGAGAAATTCTAGCCGACGCGGGACACGGGCAATGTTCTCCCCCACCTTGGCACAATGCTCAAGAGGTTTGTGGTTGGAAAAAATACGAAATTTCGTGCCTCACAAGTAACGGCGAAGCTGTTTGACACACCACACGATGCTAGCCGCCTCGAGATCGAGGGGGGCCCAATGATGTTCGGAGTCACAAGAAGCTTGGTTGATGAAAACGACGGGTATCCGGCCGTTCTTGTTATAAGTCCCTCCGAACCCACCGCGACCAGCATCATCGTATTGATGAAAATGTCACAAGCCTTCCAAAACGGCATCCCAGTCTGGATAAACCAAAACAAGGGGGTTGGCCAATTCAGACAACAGGACGCGAACGGCTTGCTCCATTGAAGGGGTGAAGAGGATCTTCACCTGCTTCCGGAGGAGGGTGCTTAGAGGCTGAATGTGTGTAGCCGTGTTGGGGAGGAACTTGCGGTCGTAGCTGAGGAAGTCCGCTTCTGTAGCGCCGATTTCGGCTTTGGGGAGCTCGATTTTCAAGTTGTGTGTACGCATTCCTTCAACAACAGCGCGAGTGGTACCAACATGAGAAGCAGGAGTGTCCTCAAAGACGGTCAAATCATCCAAGTACATTACAAAACCGTGAATATTTGTCAATGACTTCGTGGACAACTTTGGAAACCCACCCAGGGGCAGCAGATCTGCGTTGAGGTATCTTGAACCACTCAAAAAGCCCGGAAGACGTCACGAACGCCGTCAAAGGGATTGTATCACGGTGAATCGTGATTGGGTGGGACGAACTTTTCAAGTCTAAAAGTGAATGAAGTCTCCCTTTGAACAACTTGTCCATAGCGTTATCAACTCGAGGGATCAGAAGCTGGCTCAAGGCACAGAGCTTGTTGAGCTTGCGATAGTTGACAGTGATGCGAACACCACCAGATTTCTTCGGGTTGACAACCCAAGGGCTCGAGTAGGGTGGGGTCGAATGTTGTTTCAGACCAGCGGCAAGACACTGATCATGGGTCGCGTCAACTTGATTCGACACCGGGGGTTAACGCAGTATGGGCGAGACGTGACGGCTGCACTGCCAGGAGAAACTCTAAGCTTGAAAGGATTGAGCGAACAAGATTCAAAGTGAACGTGGAGATCAAACGAAATCTCAGGGAGTTGGCAGGGGAGCTTATCCCACACTCGGGACAAACTCTGACGGTGTTCTGGAGTTGACCGCTCGGGAAGAGCAGGCGAAGGCGACGATCGGGAAGCACCGGCGGAACCAGGATCCTCTTTGTCACTTTGCCACGGCATGGGTCACTCATGTCTGCCGTTCTCCCTTGCCACGAGCTCTCCAAACAGTTGAGCCCCGGACCCAACAACCTAGTTCGATCCGGCAGGAAGACTGTCAGGGTCAAGCTTGCTTCCAGCGGAGACCTCAGGCGAGGTAAGGTCAAGCCACCCCCCAAGCGGCTTCCGCAGGTCTTGCGGTTCACGGTCCCCCCCGAGCCGGTTCCCCACGTTGATAGCCCTAGCGTCGCAGGCCTCTCTCAGATCACTGTCGCTGAGCGATTCCAGCGAGACCGTTCTCAGGATTTCGATCATCCTGCCCAGGTCTCTCAACCTCTCGCTGAGGCAGTACCGCACGTAGAACCCAGGCGAGATGTGGCACCACCCCGACAGCCCCGTGCCCTTGCCGAGCGCCTCGATGTACGCGTTAGGGACCTGGCGTGGAGTATACTGTTGGAGTGACCTCGTCCCCACCGGTGTGAGCGTTAGTCGGCATGTCGATAATGCGAAGAATGAGGCAAGAAAAAAAAGGAAGTGAGGGTATGTGTTCCAACCCAACCGCAACAAATGCCGGTGGGCGAGATGTAAATGATACACGAAGTGGTCAAGAATGGAATGCATGGCAGACGAATGAATCCGATGCCATCTGTCGGAACAGGACCCGGAACCCAGTTGCCCGAAGCAGCGGTGGACTCTTGAGCGGTAGTTTGAAGACCGTCGCTGAAACTGTGGCGCGCCACAGCGCTGAGAGGCGCTTGGAGACGTGGAGCCGAAGCTGCACCCAAGGTGTCTCTTGGTTCGAGAGACTAGATGCCTGTGAGCGGGATTCGTGACAACCATTTTGTACGAAATGTTCCTCTGAAAAACATAACGCATCCTGGAAGCGCATCCACTAGATAGTTGCCGACGAGAGCTGGAGAGCCCTCGCTGCGCACTGAAGTAACCGCAACGAGGCTGTTCTCGGGTAAAGTTGGACGGCATGCTTCCCGGCATGCGAAATTGATCACTGCCATCGGCGGCAGACAGGTCGTGGGCAAATGCAGTGGCACCGCAGCAGTCATGCTGAGCCAATGCAAGCACACGACGTTTCGCACGCAAAGTGCGGTAAGGACCGCTGCGTTAGGGGACCTCAACCTCAAGTTGCCAGGGGAACCCCACACAAATGGGGATACGATTTCGTATTCAACAGCCACTGCGTAAGGGAACTTCTGCATCAGGGAACCTCAACCTTCAATTGCCAGGGGAACCCCACACAAATGGGGGATACGATTTCGTGTTTAACAGCAACCGCGTAAGGGAGAATATGAATTAGGGATGTGTGTTAGTAAGTAGATGCATCAGGGATGATTGCTGTATGCAATGATTCTCAGATGCTGTAAATGGGTAACGTTTGGTCACCAGCCCTAAACCCTAGACCCTAACGCGCTGCCAACTCTGGGGTGAGGTTCCCTAACGCAGTGACTGTTGGATACGAAATCGTATCCCCATTTGTGTGGGGTTCCCCTGGCAA